ATGACTATTGTCACACATGTATACTGCCAGATATTAATACATACTTTCAACATATTGTACCACAGTAGCCAGAACTATAACTATAATATTATTACTTTCAATAATGTTGTTGTAAGCTACTGTCATTACCTGTATCTCTCTCTCTGTCTCTCTCTCTGTCTCATTGTGTCATACGGATTACTGTTAATTTATTATGCTGATCTGTTCTGTACGACATCTATTGCACGTCTGTCCGTCCTGGAAGAGGGATCCCTCCTCAGTTGCTCTTCCTGAGGTTTCTACCGTTTTTTTTCCCCCATTAAAGGGTTTTTTGGGGAGTTTTTCCTGATCAGCTGTGAGGGTCATAAGGACAGAGGGATGTCGTATGCTGTAAAGCCCTGTGAGGCAAATTGTGATTTGTGATATTGGGCTTTATAAATAAAACTGATTGATTGATTGATTGAGTTCATTCTATTGTGTGAGTGAGGTTCGAGTAATGTAGTGGACATTTTTTGTTCTGTCCTCAGAAATGAATGTAAAAGGACATTGTCTATTTTCTGATTGACTATAAACCACAATGTTGTACACTTACTTGCCTTTGTCTGTGTCTGTTAAACCATACATAACGGCATGAGTAATGTGAAATAAACCTTTAATTTCTACATTAAGCTTTTCTTGTAATTACTGAAATGAACTAGTCTGTTGAATTATAAACATAATACTTTTATATACATTTATGCAAACTGTAATTATAAACTGTCATGATTATAAACTGTTCATACCTCAGAAACTCTGACTGAGGCACCCTCTGAGAGCAGGAGGGTCAATGGAGAATGTAGCTAATACATAACACATACACATACACATACACATACATAATAGGCTATTTGCACCAGTTAATCAATTGAAACTACATTCCCCTCAAGTTTTGATTGAGTGGGCTAGTAGGCTGTTTGTACTGGCTATTGATAAAAGGTAATACATAATTGCTTGGTGTGGTGCCATTCAATTACATGGATTTGTGCTATTGCAGTAACTCTAAACCGCCACCAGATGGCAGGATAACACTGAAGTTAACAGGTTGATCTTCACAGGTCAACCAGGAATTAGTGTTATGCCATCTGGTGGCGGTTTACAGTTACTGCAATTGTACATACATCATAAGAGCTCAGCCCTATTCTGAATGTAAATAGAAAAAGTAATGCTTTTTAGCTTTATTCATTGTCGACAGTGCAAATGCTGAATGGTTGCTAAATATACTCTTCATACATACGTGTCCATAACAGGCTATGTGCAAATAAATAAAAAGTAATAATGCACACAGGGGGCATTTAAAAAAACAGACTAGCTTTTCCACATCTTGATCACTGACTATCAGTTTATTACCAGAATAAAAGAAAATGTGTCACAGAAACACTTAAGTCTTGTGGGTTGGAGCCTCCTAGCACAGCTGATTGACATGCTAGTACGAACACAAACTGAACATTCTGACAAGCATGGAGAGATTTATTGGAAGACTGTTTTATTGGACTGCATTCATTACACTTTGTGTATATTCCCATAGATGTTCTTTAGATAGTTCACTGAGGATTGTGACATTATGAGGACTACTTTCTCAGCTGTGCACATGGAGTTGGATTCACCTGTATTAACTGCATAAAGGTAGAGGTGTTTGTAGCAGGACACTGACTCTGACACTGGATTTAGCACCCCAGATTCAAAAGTCCAAAAACACATAATTGAAACGCGCTCACGTGTGCTCAAAAGCACGTGAACACATGTGAGTGTGGAGCACAGAGAGGCAGTCAGAGCTACAGGCTACAATGAGGCTAAAAACAGAGTTCAAATGAGGTTTTTCCAAACAACTTTTTATGTCGGGGCTTCAGGACACTTGGATCACTACGGACGAGCAGTATGGAGATATTTTGTGGTTTCAATGATGTGTTTTTGGACGTTTGAATCTGGGGCGCCGTCAGCCTCCATTAGGTGGAGTTGTGTTGCTACCTCCTCTCCCCTTGGATCTCTGCAAGTGATGTGAGGACTCTAAAACTTCACCTGAGCCTCCCTCGGCATATGGGTGAGTAGATAATGGCTGAATTTTCAGTTTGGGTGCACTATCCCTTTAAGTGTCACATGATCTCAGCATATATTCTGCTCTGAAAGGCCCCAGAGTCTACAGCAGCACTAAGCAAGGTATACCACAAAGCAAGCAGCACCATGAAGACCAAGGAGCTCTCCCAACAGGTCGGGGGTAAAGTTCTGGAGAACAGATCAGAGCTGGGTTTGAAAACAAATATACAAAAGTTTGAACATCCCACAGAGCACCATTAACTCCATTATTACAAAATGGGGGAAAAAATGTAGCACCACAATAAACCTACCATGAGAGGTCCGTCTGTTGTGCTTCTGCATGTCACACTTGTTTTTCAGTTGTCTTCATTATATCACTTCCATTTTTGGGCAGTTTAGTGCCATCTACTGGCCTTGTTCACATACAGCTACATAATCAAGAGGTTTGAATCAGCCGTTTATCCCACCATACTAGTTATGTTATGTTTGCCCTTGCATTTGTGTGAAGATACAGTTACACATCTCTGCTTCTATACATTTACATCACCTTGCATTATTGTTATATGGCACTTACGGTAAATGTCTTTGTATTGTTTTGCAGGTTTACACCGCTTCCATTAAAATGCCTAAAGCCAGCTCCTGTCTTGGGTCCTTTATGGGAGAGTGTTCAGCAAGAGGGTAAAAGACGGCCCACCAAAACTCACACAAGGCATGAGGTTAAAGATGAAACATTTCTTCAATATTTTAGGCAAGATTACTTTTTAATTTCAATCTTCACAGCTTCTAAACACTTCTTGTATCCAGCTCAGAGTCTTTCAGTTCTTGTTTGGAGGATTTTCACCCATTCTTCCTGCAAAAGGCTTCTAGCTCTGTGAGATTCTTGGGCCGTCTTCATGCTCTGCTCTTTGAGCTCTATCCACAGATTTTGGCACATGCTGCTCTGACAGCAGGGAGGCCTGTAGATGTTACGATCTGTCTTAACATTAATAAGACTAGACTAAGTGTTTATTACAGCATAACTGACTGAGTTATTATTGCTTATAGGAGTATTATAAGCACTTAATAGAAACTTTGGTAACAGTTTATAAACCTGTACTAAATATTAATAAGATGTCTATTTACATTAATTACAATTTATAAGGGTTAATTATGGAACAATAACCACATTTATTTGTGTTAATTATGCTATAATTAACACTTAGTGTCTTACTAATAGTAATAAACATCTTATTCTGTCTTATAAGTGCTCATTAACTGTTAATTGGTGCTTATTAAGCATTAATTAGCGTTTATTACAGTACCTTAATATAAAGTGTTACCGTAAAATCATAGTTTCAGATAGTGCTAAATACTGTAGATAAATAGTGATAGACAGTGCTGCATAAGAATAAACCTAGGAAATGCATTATTTTCAATCAGGTTAAACAAAATACAAAAAAGAAAAAAAAAAGCTTAATTAAAAAACTAAAGAAAACAATTACCATCACAGGTTATTTTTTTCATTTTTTATTTAAATTATTAAAAAATCTATAATTATAAAAAACAAAACATTCATGTGCAGCCATGCACTGTTTGAAGTGAAATGTCAGAAACATGTAACTTACAATGTTCCAGCATTTGGCCAACATGTAACATCTGCAACACTGAATAGACTATGTACATGTCCACTGGGACGACAGCTCTCTATGATGTCATCCACAATGACGCACAGGATGGTCTCCTCCTTCAGAGCGTCCCAGGTGCTAAGAGACGAGCAGCTGTAGGAGTCTGGCCACCACCACCACATTCAGGCTGTTTCCTAGGACTTTGTACTGCTGCTTGGTGGTGACGTGCTCCGGGAAGGCTGCAAACACATTCAGTCACAGGAAGAAACAAAATTAACTCTTGGGTATGTGTTCCATCCAATAATATGCAAAAAGCTCAATATCACATTAAGACTGGAATCTGGGGAAAAAGGATCAATAGAAATTTTGTCTCCATCTAACAGACGAACAGATTAAACCAAAACTACTGCCCCGTGGTTGTATGACTCCGCCCACCAGTCCACCCTGTGGTTGTATGACTCCGCCCACCAGTCCACCCTGTGGTTGTATGACTCCTCCCACCAGTCCACCCTGTGGTTGTATGACTCCTCCCACCAGTCCACCCTGTGGTTGTATGACTCCGCCCACCTGTCCACCCTGTGGTTGTATGACTCCGCCCACCAGTCCACCCTTGTCAGTGAAAACATGGATGCTTCACACACAGAAGATCTATACAATCAGCACAGTTTCAAGATTAGAGTCACCAATTCAGTATCTGACCAAATGTCTCCCCTTCTGTTCCTGAGATATGACGTTAAAACATGATGATGTCACAGTCAAGCTGACCTTTGACCTTTTGACCTTCATTATTTTACCCTGTTAGACATTTGTGTCAAAATGACTTATACTTAGTGCATGAATTCTTGAGTTATGGCCAAAAACATATTTTGTGAGGTCACAGTGACCTTTGACCACAAAATTCTAATCAGTTTATTCTTCAGTCCAAGTGGACGTTTGTGCCAAAATTGAAAAACTCCCTCAAACGGGGCTATAGTGAAGAGTGGGCCTCGAGGAGACCGACCTTGATTTAGCCTGAAGAGCTGACAGATTCTGGACTTACAGAAGCTTTGAGGGAAGCCCATGAGGTTGGCAACTTCTCTGGGAGTGAAATAACGGAGCTTCAGTTTCGACAGCCGCTGGAGTTTCTCATCTTCAGAGCACTGGTCCAGACCTTTAAACACACTCTCCATCTGTAGAGCACACAGAGCAAAAGCCTTTTTAAATGATATTTAAGACCAAACTTGTGATGGAAAACACACAGCCAGAGCTAACGTACACTCTTTCCCAATAAACACACAGATACCAGTTCAAAATAAACAGTGAGGTAAAAACGACACTGATGATACTCTCCAGTGGAGGAGTGTAACTAAGTACATTTACTCAGGTACTGCATTAAAGTACAAATTTGATGTACGTATTTTTATTTTATTTTTCTAATAAAGTTTTAAAGAATATAAAACCTCAATGGGTCAAAAATTCGAGGTGTCGAGGACGCGATGCTTTTTGAGCTGTAAAGGATTTTTTGGTGCAATACTGCCACTGGGAAAAAACTGAAGGCAGGGCTGAGCCGTGTTCCTGAGGACCTGGGGTCTCATTTATAAACACTGTGTATGCACAAAACGAAGCCTGAAAGAGGCGAGCGCCACTTCCCACGCTAAAGTTGTGATCTATAAAACAGACTGGATGGAAGAAACTTTGACCCATGCTTACCAACACTTTGGAGATGGGACACTGGCGATACAGAGGGTCAGGGGGAAGAGAAATTGTCAAACATTTTTGGCTTCTGTCCATATATAGATTTTAAGTGTGGATCCTACAAATTGTTTTATTAATGAGACCTCTGGTGCGTGAGCTGTATCTTCAAGCTATATTCTAAACGTGGTTGATAAGGAGCACTCCACTACTGACATGTTTCCAGTTGGCATGGAAACCACGCAGCTAGATATTTGGCATGAGGGGCCACGTGTCTGATCAGAATTAAGACATCCACTTTGTCACTGTCCTTGACCGTTTGGTCTCATCGATGCCCGTCGTGAAATCAAACCTCACCTCTGTTTCCGTGCAGCACTGCAGCACTGAGCCAGTTCCCTCCACGTACCGCCCGTAGCTATGGAAACAACACATAATACAATCAAAGAACAGCATTACTGCGTGACTGTTTAAAGAGTGATCAAACAACCAGACAAAGGAACAGCAGGGGGGACAAACACTATCAGCAAGTTTATCAAACACCCCACTTACACTCCTGGTATAACTAATACTCCATCTAGAAACAGGTGTATGCTCACTGTGGTGTCCCCGGCACAAACCTCTGCAAGTTCCTGAGCTGCTTGGATGTGAACTCCGAGTTTTTGTAACTACACGCCCACTGCTTGTGCTGGGTTGCTGAAGCATGACTGTTACAAATACTGATAAAAGTAAATAAATTAATGAGTAAAATAATGAATGCATTTTTACTATTACTATGTTTCAGGATTTCAGAGAAGCGACCTTATCGTTTAAAAAGAGGAGATCTTAAAAGTCTACATTTGAGAATTTATTATAGATTTCATTAAAGCTTCTCAAGTTTAATTCAATATATTCAAACTTTGATTCAATATATGTTGACTTTCTTTAGTTGGTCTGCAACTGTGTTTGGGCGTGTTGAATGTGTCAGGTGGCAGCCACGTGAATGTCAGGACCCAAGGTGTCCCAGCAGAACTCTGTATTGTAACGAGATGATCAATGTTATTCACTTCATCCATCTGTGGTTTGAATGTTGTGGCTGACTGGTGTATATATTCACGGTAGCTGCAACAGAAAAAGCGAAAGAGAAGGACTTATATCTGATGTGATTTATCCAAATGTTGAAAAGCTTAAATGCACCCTTCCCTCCAAGATGCAGATGTTATCTTTACTCCTGAAGTTACATTTCATTGAACTCAGCTCTCAGATCTCCAATTTGCACTCATTATGTTACTCCTGTGCGATATTGCAATAACAGTGAGTCAACTGGAGTCAGTGACATTTAGATGAAGAGTACCCACCCTTTGGTGAAGCAGACAGACCTCCTGCAGGTGGGCCGAACAATGTCCAAGATCAGAGCGTACCGCAGCAGCGTTTTAGGAGGAAGGAGATAGTGTTCCATGTCTACTTCCATCTGTGGTTCCAGGAAGTCTTGGATCTGCCTGACGGACAGATCGTTGTTCTGACTCATCTTCTTCTGGACTTCCAGCGTTGTCTCTAGTTTATACAGGAAATGACTGCCCTGCAGGTCCTCTTCTGGCTGGCAGGTACCTGGGTGGGGAGGACTCAAGACTGTGGGCTGCTCAGGGGAATCACTCTCAGCAGGATGTGGAAAGGCATCTAAAATCTAAGATTACATACTTTATCAAAAGCCTTATATACACACGACTAGTACTGTGCCGGAAACTTCAATTAAAAGCCTTCACCCTGTTACTAGCCTGGTGTAGCTGCACATTTTGACAAATAAAGGCCTGTCTGCATTAGATGCCTGGTCTGGTTGCCAAGATGTTACTTTTTATTGGAGCTCTTTGGATGTTGGTTGTTGACTACCCACCAAAAGAATCAAAATGACTGACTACCAAATCACAATCACCTGTACATATACAATTTCTTAACCAAAACACAGCTGGCAATTTCTTCAATAACAGACATGGCAGGTTTCCACGAGGTTTAGTACCAACACGTTTGCACTAAAATATTTCTATGATACATTTCATGATACCAGGATTACTGTCAGGACGCCTCACCTTTGAGCTGAAGTTTTCTGTTGAAATCTTGGCGAGCAGGAAATAACGCAGTCTTGAATTTGGGATCCCAACCTGGATTTATGAACACAACAGTGATATGAATATAACTTAGAGTGCAGATGTACTTCAGGAAACTAGTTGAACAGCGTGTCTTTCTTACACTGGTGGGAGAGATCATGATCTCCTGGAAAGTGTATCCACAGACCGTCAGTGTTTTCACCAAATGTTCCCTGGAGAACAGAAGCATCCCATGAGGACAGATTCACTCTGAAACCTGTGCACCACCATAACCACGGTTCAAGAGTGAGATTGGAAATATTTTAAAGCGTGGTTGAGGAATAACAGACCTAACAGAGTTTAAATATGCAACAAAAATCCCAGAGTGGTACATCCTGTCAGCCGAGGGGTTTCCTATCTGTGCAGCCGAGCACCGCAGCACCTCCACGGACTATTACATCCAGACGGTCCCGGTGTTTCCTCCGCAGGCTCCACTTCACTCAGCTGCCCGATAAACCCGCTGCTTCTTCCCACTTTAACCTGAATAACAAACCAGGGCTCGGTGCTCCGGTTGGATCCAAACGGAGAGCCGGGGCTAGCTCAGAGACTAGCAGAGGCTAACTGGCTGTGCTTCCCTCCGGTCATGCTGCGGCTAACGCTCCGCTAGCCGCTCCCAGCTAGCTCCGGTTTGTTATTCAGGTTAAAGTGTGAAGAAGCAGCGGGTCTGTGGGGCAGCTGAGTGAAGTGGAGCCTGAGGAGGAAGCACCGGTTAGCCCCGGTTTCACTACAGGCAGATTCACTCGCTACAGGGGCGAGGAAATAAAACCTGAACAGCCAATCAGAGTGATCTCTCTCACCGACAAGCTCCGCTTCTGATTCAACATGCTCAATCTGCCGAAAAGCCGCCGACGCTGAAGTGCTGACGGTGCTGGACACACCGCAAAAACTACCGACGGCTGACCATCGGCTTGGTGTGTCAGGGCTTTAAAACTTGAAAGCTGGTTAAGATCAAGACCTCTGACAGTTCATGACACCTGCATTAAGGATTACCAACAGGTTTTATGAAGATCGGACAGAAGCTCATTCGTTAACGTCCAAATCTCTACTGGGCCATGCTCTTCTTTGGAAACACTGTCGCTTCCTATTGGTCAGTCGTAGAAACATTTTGGGGTGAAGCATTAAAGGCTTAGTTTAAAAGGTCCACAGAGTTTGCTGATGTTTGAAAAGCCAAATTTTGCGAAAGGCCATTGCACTCGTTTGGAACAGGTAGTGATGGTCAAATGAAGCCTCATGAAGCATTTTCTTTATTTTCTGAGCCCACTAGATGGTGCTCATGGTTTAAAGAGATAGGCTCAAAGAATTTCAACCTTTTGTTGAACAAAAAGCGCCATCTAGTGGGCTCAACAGGTGGCACCCCATATTAAAATTATTTAACGCACGTGGTTCATCATTTTTGTTTAACATACCCTGCAAGTTTTGTGATGATTGGCCCAAAGGTTGTGGAGTTAGGTCCATTCATGTGCTATGAATCGGCCCGGTTTAGGAGGAAATGTCCAAAATATGTTTTTCTAAAAATTCAAAATGGCAGAAAATCTAGTCAGGTTATTTCAGAATTTCACAATGATGGGACAGATGGTCAACCTGAAAACATCAGGCCACAGGTATCACCGGCATGGACGTATAATTAGGCCTATCCTGACCCGAAAAGATGCAGAAAAATTGGTCCACGCTTTTGTTACCTCTAGGCTGGATTACTGTAACTCTCTATTATCAGGTAGCTCTAGTAAGTCCTTAAAAACTCTCCAGCTAATTCAGAATGCAGCAGCACGTGTACTAACAGGAACTAAGAAACGAGATCATATTTCTCCTGTTTTAGCTTCTCTGCACTGGCTCCCTGTAAAATCCAGAATTGAATTTAAAATCCTACTGTTAACTTATAAAGCTCTAAATGGTCAAGCTCCGTCATATCTTAGAGAGCTCATAGTGCCATATTATCCCACCAGAACTCTGCGCTCTGAGAACGCAGGGTTACTCGTGGTCCCTAAAGTCTCCAAAAGTAGATCAGGAGCCAGAGCCTTCAGCTATCAGGCCTTTTGATGCACCCTTGCAGTCTCCATGTTTACCTGGCAGATGAGGTCTCAAAGCCTTTCACATTCTCCAGCAGGATGAAGCGAGGTAACCTGCACAGCCTGGACACACACCGTCGCCACATGCAAGAGAAGAAGAAGAAGAACTGTTCTTATAAAATATCCAGCCCTGACTCACGACAAAGACAACACACCTGAGGCCTCTTTTATAAAGCTGTGTGGAATCTTTACCTCACACCTAAACCCGCTGCACACAATCCATAAACAGATTGGGAACCAGAGGGTCGCCGGTTCAAGTCCCCATACAGACCAAGTATGGAGGGTGGACTGGCAGCTGAAGAGGTGCCAGTCCACCCTCCCAGGCACTGCTGAGGATCAGGCTGACCAAGAAAAAACTAAATCTGGAGATTAAAGACCTTGGCAGAAGATCAAGGATGTAGAGGAAGCTCTTGGTTCTGGGATCAGCGATGTCACCCTGAAGTCCTAACCTGCACAGAGAAAAACAAAAGATCTCAGTGAGAAACAGAGAGACTGATAGAAAACACTTGTCGTGATGATTTAGATAAAGTTATTATGCTCTTAAACGAAGAAACTGTGAGACAGAGGAGAGTTTGATCGTTTTAAGGCTCTGATCCACCGACTTCACAGAGCTAGCAGCAGCGAAGGTCCCAAGCTGTGTCGCCTCACGTTGCCAAGTCTTGGCCAAAAATGTGCACATGAACTCACCGCAAAGACTACAGTTACATAAATTCTGTGCCTGCGTGAGAGGAAATAACTCTTCACAATAGCACACGGTGGTCGTCTGTAATCGTCGTGCAAAAAAGGAAACAGGAAGACCTTCTTGACGCACATTAGCAACACAATCAGAGAATATTTACCGTGTGCCAGTGAACAATAACGCACACCATCAGGAAACACTTCTGCCAAAGAGCTCACGAGATAAAGAAAAAAAATAAATCGGTTTTGGTCTCAAATAAGTCTGTTTTGGTCTCATTCCCTCTGGACTGAGCTCCAGCTGTTTACTTTCCTCACTTCTGTTTCTCTTCTCGTGTGCAGAGCTGAACTGCCAATCAGAGTGATTTTATTCACAGACAGTCTCTGCTGTCGCCCACGCCGATTCAACATGTGGAATAGACCCAAAACGAGCAGCAACGGTGCGGGACACAGTGGACAGAATAGGGCAACACCATCAGCCGACTGTCGGCCTCGTGTGTCAGGGCCATGAGCATGTTGCAGTTACAGCTGCTCGAACGGGACTCCACAAACTAATGGGTGACGTCACTGTAGCTACGTTCATTTACTGCACACAAAACACACAAGACCTACCTGGTGAATGGCTGGCAAGGAGGGCTCATCAAAATCATGTCAAAAGATAATCTATTGAAGTCGTCAAGTGTTATGCCCTAAAGGAAAAATAAAGAAAACTTTATATCAAAAGTAAAAACATTGCAAAGTTAAAACTGAAGTCTAAATCACTGGTTTGTCCAGATGCAAGCAGCCATGTCTGAACCTTCCACGACCACCCACCTCAATGGTCTTACTCCAGAGGACGGTGTCGGGGAAATTGTGCTTGTAGATTTGATTTGCTGTGGTGTTTATGTCGATGGCAGCCACAACCTGGGCTGGTATGCCGCTCTCTGGAGGAAGAAAAGACAAATCATAAGCTACAGATAAAACACCTCTAAAAACATTAAGCTACTGTTTCACTGTGTGCCTGAAGTTTCAGCTCCACAGATCCCGCTGAAAATCCACTCATCGGAAGTGTGGCAGTTCGATCCCTGGCTCCTCCGGCCCACATGGGCGAGATACTGAACCTTAAATCGCTGTGAATGCGTGTGAATGTTTAACTGAGTAGCAGGCGGCACCTTGTGTGGTCGCCTCGGCCACCACTGTGTGAATGTGTGTGTGAATGCGTGAATGTGACACATAGTGTTAAAGAGTCGTCTGAAAACTAGAAAGGCGCCATACAAATGCAGATCCATTTACCATCCAATGTGAAAGCAAACAGAGGGATAGAGAACGTTTGGCCTTCAGCGCCGAGTGAGCACTTTTAATTTAAATAAGTGGAACCCATCTGTGAGTCTGATATCCAGCTCCACATCCATGGTTAAAACTCACCATGTTCTTGAGACCTTAAGTGTTTCCATGGAGATGAATGGAAATCTCTGACCCTGTAACTCACTTCAAAGTATTCAGATTTTAATTAGTTTCTTTTTTATAGTATTTATTTTTTTCCCTAACGGTTCTTAAAGGCATTGATATTGACTACGTGTGCAGATCTGCTCCTTCATAACATGGTCAGCATGTGCAGAGAAATGTTCCCCTTACATGATGCTACACATTTAATCATGAACTTTTCCAATGCAGCTTTGCAGAAAGTCCAAATGATTCAGCCTGTGCATGTTCTGTGAGTGCGTCATCAAACCAAACTGCATCAACAGGCTCCAACAAGAATGACCCAGCTGGCACTCTGATGTCTCTTCACTGTTGAATCTACGTCACACACCGTGGTTGAATCACTGTTGAATTATGTGTCTGATTCTGAAAAATGAATTGAAATAAATCTTTTGGAAATTTCAATGTCGATTCATGAGAATTTTGTTTTTTTAGCATTAAACTTTTTAACAACAACTGACATACACTCACCGACCACTTTATTAGGTACAACTGTTTAACTGCTCGTTAATGCCAATAGCTAATCAGCCAATCAGGTGTCAGCAGCTCATTAACATTGAGTCATGTAGACATGGTGAAGACGAGCTGCTGAAGTTCAAACGGAGCATCAGAATGATGAAGAAAGGTGATTGAAGTGACTTTGAACGTGGCATGGTTGTTGGTGCCAGACGGGCTGGTCTGAGTATTTACTGGGATTTTCAGCACAACCATCTCTAGGGTTTACAGAGGATGGTCCCAAAAAGAGCAAATATCCAGTGAGCCAAAATGCCTTGTTGATGCCAGAGGTCAGAGGAGAATGGCCAGACTGGTTCAAGATGATAGAAAGGCAACAGGAAGTCAAATAAGCACTGGTTCCAACCAAGGTGTGCAGAAGAGCATCTCTGAAGCAACAACACCTTGTCCAACCTTGAAGCAGATGGGCTACAGCAGCAGAAGACCACACCAGGTGCCACTCCTGTCAGCTAACAACAGGAAACTGAGGCTACAATTCACACGGGTTTTCTCACCAAAACTGGACAATAGAAGATTGGAAAAACCACATTCAGATGGAAGCATGGATCCATCCTGCCTTGTATCAACGCTTCAGGCTGCTGCTGGTGGTGTAATGGTGTGGGGGAGATTTTCTTAGTACCAACTGAGCATGGTTTAAACACCACAGCCTACCTGAGTATTGTTGCTGAGCGTGTCCATCCCTTTATGACCACAGTGTACCCATCTTCTGATGGCTACTTCCAGCAGGATAACGCACCATGTCACAAAGCTCACATCATCTCAAACATGACAATGAGTTCACTGTACTCCAATGGCCTCCACAGTCACCAGATCTCAGTCCAATAGAGCACCTTTGGGATGTGCTGGAACGGGAGATTCTCATCATGGATCAACTGTGTGATGTCATCATGTCAATATGGACCAACATCTCTGAGGAATGTTTCCAGCACCTTGTTGAATCTGTGACACCAAGAATTAAAAACGAGGGCCAGCCTGGTATTAGCAAGGTGTCGCTAATAAAGTGGCTGCTGAGTGTAATTTCAACGGTGAAGGTCGGTCATGTGCCAGCTGGTAAGTCTTTAATAATGTAGTGCATATTATTGTTATTATTATGACTATTATTTACATCATCATGTCCGTGGATTACAGGTCATTTTTTCTGCGCCCAAAGAGGACTCTGGACTTTGGATTTGGACAGTGGACCTCCCAGGAGGGCGTTTGGTAAATCCGCCAGTGTGATCATTTAGGCCCAATCCCAATACCCCCCCTTGCCCACTACCCCTTAGCCCTCGAAATGAAGCAACGAGGGGTAGGGGTTGAAATCTTTCCCTAGGAAGTGGGACGCCACTCACTACGTCACCGCGTCGGTTACGTTCACGCATACGTAACTATTTTAAACAGGAAGCTGCGAGCCATCTACATTTCCAACCGGCATCTACAATGGAGTCTCCAGTTGAGTTCATCCTACCAATCACGTTTGCCGCATTCATCATGCTTAGTTTGATGAACGACAGACAACAGAGGACTTCTGCTAGCTAGCTAGCTAGCTAACCAGCTAACATTACAAGGCAGCATAGTTATACTAGCTGGCGTGTTATCGTAATGTGAAAAATCTGACAAATTTGCAGAACAGGACAGATGACAGACGCCAGATAGTGTGAGCTAGCTAGCTAGCTAACAAGCAACTTGACGACGGTAACGTTAGCTATGTATGAACTTTTTCCCCCCTTTTTTCTTCTACCCCTCGCTGGCAAGTCAGCATCTGAAATCCCTTGCTCCGAAGGGCTAGTTTCATACCCACTACCCCTCGTTATGCCCCCTACCCCTACACGCAAAAAGACGGGCCCTTATTCTTGTGTAGTGGTGTTTCTGTGTCACTCTGCAGTTACACCTCCAAAACACTAGTCGGCGGTGGAGGTTTCTGTGAGTGCTGTAAAGTTTAGTTGATTCAAAACACACATTAAACACATTAACACACATTAAACATGGCTTAATAGAAACAGTTCAAAATAAAGGACACAAATCAGCTTCACTATAACTCGCAGCATTCACAGACAAACACTTGTCTTTATCTGGACACATTTTCCCCACAAATACAACATGCTAACATTATTAGCACAAGTCTATGGCGTTTTGCATTGTATAAATTAGCCTAGCAGCTAGCAGAGATTTCCTCTTCTCATATAAAACCAGGGACAACAGCAACATGTAACAAAGGTAACGGCACATAATTTGGCTCCATTACAGCTCACAACATTCACTGACAGAACAACTGTCTGATACTAAACATGTTTTATAAACAAATACAACATGCTAACGTTATTAGCACAAGCCTATGGCATTTTACATTGTATACATTAGCCTAGCAGCTAGCAGAGATTTCCTCTGCTCATATTTCAGCCAGGATAAATCACACACAGTGTGTGGAGGCTTTATTGTCTTCATGATTCATTGTTTCTTATCTGTGAAATTAAAGTAAATAAAAGCTTCGTTCCCAGTGAGGGAAATGGTTTCAATGGTTTCAATGGTTTCAACATGAGACAACGTGATGGAGAGATCTCCCACCTGTGTCACTGACTGGTTTCTAACTGGTCCCACAGACATGCACACGAGTTACAGCCAGTAACACCATCTTAAATCTTACCCTTTAAAGCATAATGCATCCCTCCTATCCCGCTGTACAGCTCGAGCACCCGCACACCCTCCATTACTACACGTGACTGCTGTCACTTCTTCTTCTTCTATGGAGTGTAATGGCGGTTGAAACAAAGTTCCATGCGCCTTACCGCCACCTACTGGACCGGAGCGGTGGCGCGGCAGGAAACACATCACAACAATACAAAACAAGAGCGTGTTAATAGGTAATGTGAAGTGACGTCATGTCATGTGATGAGTTCATGTGTGTAACATACAGAAAACACATCAGCATGTTTATATATTAACAGTGTTCATATATTGTTATTCAGCTGTAATGTGATGGAGCCCAAACACACTGGGCACACACTCAGCATCAGACACACATATTAAACACACTGGTGAGAAATTTAACTTCTGCTGACATCATTGTGTCGACATGAGGTTGAGGTTAACTGACCTGCTGTGACATGACTTCATGTCATCTCCTTTGTTCTCACATGGAGCTATTATGGGATGTTGAGTCCCATCAATGAGCCAGAGACACTTTTCTTACGCTGTCTCTCTCTGATGTGTTCAGTGTCTCTGATGTTATAAAGAGAAGAATCAAAGGACGATGCATTAATGTGCTGTGATGATGATGATGATGATGATGATGATCCAGGATGTTTAATTTGTCATATACTTGTGTGGAACAGATTGTTAGATAAATGACAGAGTGTGAGGTCAAACAGTATCTTTCATACAGACACTCCTCCAAACAGGATCTGATCACGTCTCCTCACACAGCAGCATCTGAATAAACTGGGCCTCAACGTCCACTACTTTATTCACACGCCGTGTCTCTCCTTCCTGCGACACGCTCAATGGGCGATCGGCTTCAGGCTGGGATGCAGGTTTGCTTCATGGACTATGTTGCCATAGTAACTGGCTTTGTTTCCCTCATCTCAGGCTGAACATACTCACAAGCCCCTTTTAAGGCCCTGACACACCAAGCTGACGGTCGGCTGTCGGCCAAAGTCGGGCCGTCGGTGAGCGTCTGTCGCCCTAGTTTTTGCGGTGTTTCCCGCACCGTCGGCACTTCGGCGTCGGTGGCTTTTCAGCTGATTGAGCATGTTGAATCGGCGGCGGAGCTTGTCGGTGAGAGAGATCACTCTGATTGGCTGTTCAGGTTTTATTTCCTCGCCCCTGTAGCGAGTGAATCTACCTGTAGTGAAACCGGGGCTAACCGGTGCTTCCTCCTCAGGCTCCACTTCACTCAGCTGCCCCACAGACCCGCTGCTTCTTCACACTTTAACCTGAATAACAAACCGGAGCTAGCTGGGAGCGGCTAGCGGAGCGTTAGCCGCAGCATGACCGGAGGGAAGCACAGCCAGTTAGCCTCCGCTAGTCTCTGAGCTAGCCCCGGCTCTCCGTTTGGATCCAACCGGAGCACCGAGCCCTGGTTTGTTATTCAGGTTAAAGTGGGAAGAAGCAGCGGGTTTATCGGGCAGCTGAGTGAAGTGGAGCCTGCGGAGGAAACACCAGAAGGAATTAGCGAGCAGCTAGTAGCAAGAGGGAAACACAAACCTGACAGACACTGTAAAGATGAGCAACTGGGGAGACAAGGAATTGCGCGCCCTCCTTGTCCTCGCAAATGAAGAGGCCATTAACCGTCAGATGACGGGGACGGTGAAGAACGGGCCGACTTACGAGAGAATCACCGAAGGACTGACCAGCCGCGGCTTCCCTCCCACTTCACTGTTTACGTCACACGCTGAGCTACACGTTTTGTTACTTGCTCACGCCCCCCATTGCCCCGAAAAAGGCACATTCTGTATAAACAAAAGTAGGTAGGCGGCATTTTGCTGCACTCCCCGATTTTGTTTTTATACTGCCAATGCTGAAAAAACACTGATTGGGCTTTCCTGCAAATTTGCCTGTCTGAAAGAGTTGTCACTCATCCCGCTCTCTGTCAGGCCAGCTGTTTGACATCAACATGACGTCACAGCGCCCTCTAGTGTGGCTGTGATAGGCACCGTGACAACCAGCCCCGGTCTCCCCCACATGACCTCCTGACTCCAGTCCCCGTGTCTCTGGCTCCTCATCCTCAGCAGTGTGAAGGTGTCCCGCTGAGCTGTGTCTCAGTCTGCAGACATGTTGGGAGCTCTTACTTTGACACGGAGGTGTGGCTCAACACATCTAGGAACAGGAAGTATCCTATTATGGAAGAGGGGCTGACAACATAAACTTCCGGTAGGGTGTCAGCTCGAGGCGAAGACTCTTCCTCAGGAATTAAAAAGCTGAAATACTTGTGTGTTTGGCTCCGAGCAGTGACGGTAAGTCTCTCCGGTCCCCCCGGTGTGTGTGTGTGTGTGTGTGTGTGTGTGTGTGTGTGTGTGTGTGTGTGTGTGTGTGCAGGGTGTCGCTTGTATGTAACGCCACAGTGTAACGACTCTGATCACTGACTCAGTCGCTGTGACTGTTTCCAGAAGACAACATGTCCAAGTCTCTGAAGAAGATCGTGGAGGAGAGTCGGGACAAGAACCTCCCGGAGGTGGAGATGTGCGACAGAGGCATTTCCAACATGCTGGACATCCCGGGACTGTGTGAGGACATGTCTCCTGTCTCTTCACCACACTGCGCACACACAGCCTCTTATTATGGGATGTTAGAGTAGACTTTAACTGTGTGTTACAGACGCGAACACAGCGTACAGACGTAGGGTGGTGATGACGTCACTGCAGCCTGCAGTCAGAGTGTTATCCTGCTGCTAACATCAGAGCTAAACACACAGGGGGTGTGTAGCATCTCTCACACAGACTGAGACCGGATTAGTTTATAAATCGATAATAAAGTGATTATTGATACGTCACAGGGCATCAGAAGTATTGATCTCTATAGACCGCTTCAAAGTGGACAACATAAACATTCTAAATGGGTCCCTTTGTATTTCCTGTTTGAATGTATGTTAATACAGAAGCTGACAGGGACCAAAGTTGTTGCCCTAGCAACAGAATAGCAATGAAACGGTCCATACGTTATTTATTTTACTCACTGTGTGACTAGCTGTTACTTTTAAAACACAGCATACAGTATTTGTAGTGGGGGTGTAAATCACCAGTGTCTCTACGATACGATATTTGACGATGTGACAAAGTCTGCCATGACACCATTTCAAGTCAATGTGATTCAGGCGCCTGCGATCAATATGAGACGATATTATCTTGTATGCTTTTGGTCAGTAAAGATAAAAGGAACACATGAATAATGTGAATAATTGTAACCGCTTATGTGCAGTGAAGTTGACTTTAAACTAGACTCACAAGTCAGTCTTTAGACGCTTTGCTTAACTAAAGACTGATGTCTTTCTCCCTGATTTTGTGTTTAGATGGGCGGATACGATTTCAGAGTTTAAAAAAACTCCCTACATTGCAGAACCAATAGTAAATCCGCAGGGCGGTCCTTCGGTGCTCGCTGAACTCTTGTGCTCATAAACATAGTCCGACTGCGTTAAAAGTTTTAAACAAAGTTGCTGTAAGTCCTTCATTTCCACAATCTTGTGGACTGAGCACACATTTGATAAAACATAGTTAAATCTCTTGGCCTCCATTTTCAAGCTCTCTGTGTGTTTCTTTCCTTGCGGACGAGAAAAGGGGGAGCGCACATTTCCAGGACGGCGTGTCCTTTTCAAAAATGCAAGAGGCGTTGCTTTGTTGCCGGCTGTTTTCTCCGTTGTGTTAAACACACTTTAGAAAGGAGTGTCCCCAGACTATCAGAAGGCGGAGATCTCTGACTGTCTGGTTGCGAGACTAACTTTAAACTGACTCCACTAAAGTCCTGTTTGGACGGGACAGTTTTACACAGGGATGTGGACTAATGCCTAGTGATGGCCACATGAAGCCTCATGAAGCATTTTCTTTATTTTCTGAGCCCACTAGATGGCGCTCATGGTTTAAAGAGAGAGGCTCAAAGAATGGCAATTCAGTGTGCTTTCAACCTTTGGTTGAACAAAAAGCGCCATCTAGTGGGCTCATAAAATAAAGAAAATGCTTCATGAGGCTTCATTTGGCCATCACTACTAATGTCAGTTTACCACAGGATGTCTGTAATATAAATGTCCGATTTGCATGGGACAAGAAATCTCTGTAATTCCACCAGAGATGGGAGTGGTAACTCGGTTTGCGCCCTGGCGTCACCTCCATGTCGGCATGTGCGTGCTACGTTGCTTCCTGCATGTGTTAGGTTTATTAGTCCAATATGAAATATTGCCCATGATCAGGATTGTGAGCACACAATGATTAGCAATATGGATTTATATTAGGCCTACCTAACACAACCAGAAGTCTCGTGGCTCTGAAAAGTGCTTTCTTCTCGACGTAGGGACAGAGATGGGCAAAAATACATCAAAATGTGTTTTGATACAAAATACAAAATATCCTTCAAATAAATGTATCAAAATAAAATACAAAATACTGGTGCCAGAAAATGTATCAAAATAAAATACATGTATTTTGTATTTTCAAATACAGAAAATACTTTATTTCTTTTTCTTTTTAGCAGCGACCCGCAGCTCTATACGTCACTCTGTCGGTCGGTCCACAAAGCTTTTCGTGAATAACTCAAAAAGTCTTTGACCAAAAATGTTCAAAATTTACTTTCTGCAATTAGAGACCATTAGTAACTATTCCAGAAAGAATAATCATGATTCATCCATTAATGGCGTGATAGTAGCAAATTTGTGCTTGTTTTCTCACAGTTTGGTGTAGCAGAGTATTCAGATATACACAGAAAGGCAGAACAGTCACAGAACTAAGTGTAACTAAGCAAAGCCATTAAAAGACAACAACTTGATTATGTATAGATATATATTTATTAACCAGACTTAACAGCCCATAAACTTTTTTTGTATCAACAAATAAAATATTCACAGACACTGTGATAACATATGAACATATGAATAGGTCATTGAAGGGCCCAACTTAAAAAAAAAACATATAGATAAAAATATATAATAAAAAAAGTAAAAAATATTGTTACATCCGATATTATAAGAATGTGTAGCTGATTATTTTTGTTTTTTGATTTATGGAGAAAGTATTTTGAGTATTTTAAATACAAAATTACTCCACTA